CAAATAAATGCATATAATTGCATATTTGGAATAAAAATTATGCATATATATGCGCATATTTTGATTGAATTTAACTGCATATATTCCGCGCTTTAATCATCAAAGTACGTTGGTAATAGCAGACATTTTATTTTAGCACACCTCGTATTTTAGAGTTATTTTTCAAACATAAAATGAATCAAGCCCGCCATATAGATCATTAATATGATAAAATTATGTTTTATGGGTCCCTCGATAGTGAAATCAGGTTCCCTACAATCTATTTCTGATGTTGCAATGATATTTCCAAATTTAATAACTGATAGTAAATTACAAGGTCTGGACACAGAATGACGTCTGTTGCGAAATGTTGAAGAAATTAAAAAAAATTCTGGAAATATTGAAGAGTTTTGGAGCCAAGTACAAATATTGAAATATGGAGCTGATACATTCGTGTTTCCAATTTTATTTGTAACGTGCTTATCCTACCTCACTCATCAGCCAAGTTGAACGGATATTTTCATAGGTTTCTCATGATACAATGAATACATTCATGTATACATGTAGTCATTGTATCATGGGTTAATCTAATGAAAACTAAGTTGAGAAATAAGCTAAAAACAAGAGTACAATTTCATATTTACTTCTTTACTAACTCATGTTTATTTTAGTATTCTTGTAAGTTTAAGAATTTTAAAAAACGCGCAATTTTATGGAGCCTTTAATAATGAAAGAAAAATAAGTCTACCTATTTTCTACCGAAAAGTGTCGAGCTTATCTACCGAAACTTGATTTTCGGACCTGGCAGCCCTGGGTGACGGTGTTATCAACTTTTGCACCGTGTTACTATACAGGGTGGTTTTTTAGTGCGATAGTGTCCATTATTTTCGATGGTGTCGAACTTTCAAAAAATAGTTTCATATAAAAGTTGTTGACGCACAAAGTGCGCACATTTTAAAAATATCTTATATGATACAGAGTGTCCCAGAAAAGCGAGGCAAGATCAAAGTGTATTTTTTTAAATAGAACTACCCATTTTTCATTAGCTCATGGAATGCAGCTTGAAAGCCTGCATATGCACCGTAAATTGTTTTTTTCTTACTTGCGACGCTGGCAGATTATTGCCATTTTAGTAAAATCTTGCTTTAGCTGTGTGTTTAGCCATGTTTTTTAAAACATGGCATCTAAAAATTCATTGCCAAAGCAAAAAAAGCAGTTAAAGATACAAACAAAATAAACTGATTCGTCTTTCCAATCACCACAGATCTGTTAAGAGTTCTATTGAATAAAAATATCAATACATTCTAAAGGGTGTTAACAATGTCGACTTCAATCTAAAACTTTTTAACGCAATATAACTTTTGTTTTTCAAATGGAAGTACCTGTATATTAATACGTCTTTAGATAGAAAATTTACAAAGTTACAAATTTGCATTTACACTTTAAGTTGTGAAATCAACCGTTTTCGAATAATAAATTATTTTATTTAAAATGGGCTGCCACTTGTTATGAAGGGCGGAGGAACACTTTAACTTTTGTACACCGTCGCACCCTTTTGTTCTACCAGGATGCACTCACCTGGGAATACCCACTATTCACTGCAGCTCACACACCCCCAGCAATGCTACCAAGGTTATCGGTTGGTGGTTTCACTGCACTGGTTGGCACTTGAATGTAGGGAGTCCGTTACACAATGCGAACTGACCACAATTACACGTTTGTAGACTTTAATTGATGGCTAAACGAATTGTCTAGTGTCTAAAATGATATTAAATTTCGCCCGTTGCAGAGAAACTGCTCATGCAACGTCTTGTACACTTGTATGCTATAGATAAAGACGAGTATGCGACTTCTTGTTCGTTCGAAAAAGACCCGAAGCCACCCTTTTTGGTGGAGTTAGGGATTCCTGGTTTATTGTTAGCCGATCTTAGGTAGAATATATTTTTAGACCAGCGCAACCCAAAGAAATCGCCCTTCGGTCAACTACCTTGCCGAGATTTTAAGTGACTTGGAATTTAATAGATAAGACTTTAAATTATAATCTAATGTCTCCGACAATTGCTATGGAAAGAAACATGTGCTATCGAAACAGTTGCTATGGATACAGGGGCGAGTGGAAACAGATGCTGCAAAAACGGTTTCTATGCAAATGGTTGCTATGGATACGGTTGTACAAACAGCTAAAATTAATACACTTGGTACTTTAGACGGTTGCTATGGAAATGGTTGTTATGGAATTGGTCGCTATGTGGACGATCGCTATGGAAAGAAACATGTACTATCGAAACAGTCGCTATGGATTCAGGGGCGAGTGGAAAGAGTTGCTATGGAAACGGTTGCTACAAAAACTATAGATATCAAAACAACTGTTATTAAGAAAAAATCAGATCTACTTATTGCAATGAGAAAATGTTTAATATATTTTCTTTTTCGCATATGAAGAGCGGTTAGTTGTAAAATTCCAATGTGGTGATAGAAAATGAAGAAAACTTCCGCATAAGAATCTCTTTCACAAGAGCTTTAGCAGGTTTATCGTTGTGCTGCAGCATATTATTAGAAAAAAGTGTTTTTTTTTGCGCGTGTTTCGTATCCTTGTTGGGCGTCTGCGTGAGCGACCGGCGCTAAACCGCTTTACGTACATTCGGGAACCGTTCCTCTATCAAAAAGGTACCAAATTTGAATACCTTAAAACTGGATCTAACAATAAGCAACAAGATTGTTCTTTTAAAAATAATTTAATAACATCTCCAAAAGATTGTAATATGCCCTTATCGAACATGAATAATATACCCTCAAATTTTTTGGCTCAAAGCATAGAAAGCGACAATAGTAGTTGCTCATGGATCTTTACAGAATTCACAATCACTACTAGAAAAACATTTTGCCAAATAATTCTGTCATTTTTAAGTTATTTTGTACCAGCACATTTATTGCACAAGTTTTGACGTGTTTGTCCATTTTTCAAAGAAACACTTAAGTGATAAAAGCGTTGTTGATTGCTGAAATTTATTCGAAACGTTGGCCCCACCGTTCTTCAAACTTCCACCACACAGGCATTGAGAACATCTTACCAGATGACCACATCAGGAATTTGCACGAAGATTATTTTGGCAAATTTATATTCTCTAACTCGTGTTCATATATTCTCTTATAGCGCATATGAGACAAAAAGAAAATAATTTGTTTAGATTGCTTGTATTAAAGCAAATATTAAAACATAAATAAAATGTTAAAAAGTTCCTTTTCTAAATTTAAATATAATATTCTCTTATTCAATACTTATTTACATACACAAACCAAACTAAAATTGCAAATGAATTTAGTAAATTCGGTAAAATGTTAATAGCCACAATTGGTTTGGGTAAGTTTGCTTAATACTTCCAGTTATTTCTTGTATAATACACTTAATTAGTCTTAACAAACCCCAATTCTTCAAATTAATGTAATAAATATTCCTTGCAAGTTATTTAGTATAAGTTAAATTAAATCATTTTGCAAAAACTTTGAAGGAAGATACTGGTTACTCAGGTACGATTCTGATTTAATCAAAGCTTCTATGCTTGCCTTGACGCCAGTATCCAAACATGTTTGTATCTGCTTTTGGATTTTTGGATTTTCTTGAACACACTGCAGTTGAAGTAAGCTTGTAGCTTTTCTTTCTTCCCTGTTGTTCAATATTTCATAATTTGCACCCACATTTAAGATTTCTGTAGGAAAGACTCCAATCCACTTAGCTTTTGGAATTGCTAGATACTCAGAAAGGTGAACATTCGTCTAAAAGCAAAGAAACTATTTTGATTAGTATTATCTAATACCAATCTGATGTACAGGATTATTGATTGAACTTTGGCCACCCCATTTTTGCATCTAATTTGAAATTTAGAGGCAAATGTTAAATACAAGAATTGTAGATATTAACGTCTAGTTTATTTTAAGATAGTAACAATTAATAAAAAGGATCTCAAATTCAAATTGGATACCTTTGGCCACCACGATGAATGGGGGAGATACGCCTAATAAAAATTTTAACTTGCCACTGAGATGCTACTATTGACGTTTATTTAAACGTTTAACCCAACATGATGTGAATGGGCGACTTTGGGGAAGATAATAAAAAGTAGCGCTTCCGTGGACTAATTACATTCTTACAAATATACTGTTTAATTATCACTACCTTCGATCCAAATCGATACGTTAGCATAATAGAAATACCATCAGGATCTGCGTCTACAAAGATGAAAACTGGAATCTCCATTACCATCCACAACTTTTTTAAGAATAGTTGGGTATTCAAGTCAGGATATCCTTTACCCTAAAATATATTACAATAAAAGTTCTCGTAAACTTGTTAATTATGTTTCGGGTGAAACAGAAACTGGCAATTTGCAAAATTCTTACAGTTATTAATATAAAAGGTTTGGTTAACTTATTTGGTAAATCTTCTTCGAGTAATTTGTTAAAAATAGATTCCTTCTCGACCACTAAAATGAAAAAGGCTTGCGACTGAATTTCACAAATATTCATTACATCGTTAGGCACCAACGTTCCTAAAAGCAAAATGTTGCTTAAAATATTAAAATTTTCAAGTGTGTTAAAGAATGTTTCATTTTTAATAGTTAATAAATAAATAATAAACGAATTCAATAGTTAGTAAGTAAATTTCTTGTTTTATTAATGATTTCAAACCATTTTATACAAGTGTTGTACAACTGGGATATAATAATATAATCCGCTTCTTCGGTTTTGCAGGTTTCAATACAAACCGATATTATATAACAGTATTCTTTCAAAAACAAACGAATTTGGTATAGCATATTTAATAAATAGAGCATACAATGCAAACTTGATCCACTACCTGCAACATTACAATTTATGGTTTCTCCTGTATCCATTACCAATTTCATGTTGCCATAAACTAAGCCTTTTTGGGCAGTTATATTCAAGGCCCACATGCCGACGTTCAGCATTCTGCTTATGATTCGGATGGCGCTATCAGTGTGCCTTTGTGTACAAACGTCCGTCTTCAATTGATAATAAATTTCTCTGAAATTGAAGTAATAAAATTACTTGATGCCACTCGAACATTAATTGGATGTCATGCAAGATGTTTGTAATAACAAAATTAAATTAATTATGTTAATCTTTATGGGGATGAGAGTATTATCAGTATAGGTTAATTTTCTTTCAAAATTAATGCTGCTTTACCTTTTCGTCAATTTTGAGTTTGTATGCAGTAAAATCCGTATTTTATTTAAAATAAATAATATTAAATTGAAACGCAGCCTGTTACTTGGAGTATGCCGCCGTAGTACATAATGGCGACGTGTTAAGTCTACCAACTGATATCTGAAAATTGTTAACAAAATATTATTATTTTAACAATGTTTCTAAGCAAATATGAACATTGAGAAATCATAATACCATTTTTGTTTTCGAATTATATCGGGTTCTAAATTAATTTTCCATTCATTGTATTATCACTGAAAAACTTCTTATGTGTTAAAAGGGGGAGTTTTTCGGGTTTTACAGCCGTCGTGAATTATAAGTTCTATATTGGCGTTTTGCAAGCACGAGATCTGTAAGAACAGAACTGCTCAGTTCAGTGTAACATTTCGAGCAAACCATTTCCGAGGTTGCACACTCGTGCTTGCAAAACGTCCAGAACAAATTTAATTTAACGACAGCTTAAAAACCCGAAAACCTCCCCAGTCTCAAGGAATCGCCTCGAATCGCAGCGATACCAATGTCATGTCATAACCAACCATGTGATTATTGTTGTGATGGGGGTCATGAACTACCTTGTGCCGAATTTATGTCGACTAACGATATTTTTTTAATTTCATAGACAACAAAAACATTTCTACTACATGACCCTCCCTGACTTGAAAGCTGAACCCTGAGACAAACACTGCAATGGAAGAGCAGGATGCTCTTAAAATCCAAAATGTTGCTCTTCATAAAATAAAATTCATAAGTGTATAACTGTTATATACTGAAAATAGTATGTTAACCAAATATTGTTGTTGACAACGGATCTAAAAGTTATGGCTTGCGTCCTACAGGCCCAAGTAAATAAGTACTGCTTTTCATATTATGTTTTATAATTTACTATATGCCAGTAAAATGTAAATCTCCTTACCTGTCATCTCTAAACACGCAGTTCGCTATCGATGGAATGTTTAAAGAAATACTTTTGCCACACTCATAATCCGACAAAAGCTGTACCATGATTTCTTCTATCTTAGTCAAAACATCCGAGCTATTAATTTCCAGAGGCACTGTGTCGGAAAACTTTGAGAAAATTAGAGACTTGTCTTTCAAAATTCTATTAATACTGTTTCCCAAAAACGTCTGATATTCTGTTCGATTTTTCGTATCAGAACTCAAATCGTCAGGAGTAGTTTCATCTGCAATCAGGTTCATTCTCTTTTAATTTGAAGCTAATTGAAACCGACAATATGTTTGATCCCAGTGACTTAACGATTAATTGTAATGCATTAAATTAAATCAAGTTCCATATTCTGAACAACTTGAATACATTTTAAATTTAATATTTGAAATAAATATAGGTTTATTATGCTGTCAAATAGGCAGAAGTAATTCAAAACTGTTTTTGCAGAGCTGCATAGCTTTTTTAATTGTTGTTTTAACTAAATTATAGGTCAAAACTACAAAAAAGTTGGTATGGATTATGCAATTTTATGTATTGTGAAATCAAAAAAATCCGGTATTTATGCACATTTTGGGCTGTGTGTTTCAAAAGACCCCTTTCTCAGTTTGAGCAGTAGCAAGTAGTACTACTGGCGATTATTTAAACAACAACCTGGACGATTTAACGCAGTCACGGAAATTTCGCTATCATACATTTTCTAAATGTCTTTTGGAAGAACTTGCCTGTTAAATATGACGATGAGGTTGTAATACTTTCGCTATCCTCATTTTCATTTAAAAGTTCATTCCCGGAATCACCTTCGGCTTGATTTAGAAACTTGTTAATAAGTTTGTGTTCTTTTGGTACATACGTTTCTTCAACAGAAGTACGAAAACGTCGTTTAATTTTATAAATGCGAATATTGTTTTTTCGATATCTAAAAGCAACAGTAAATTTATCTATGGAAGTAGAGTATAAGTAATATACAATATCTACGTATTGCTACTCACTTTTTAATATAAGTTTTTGCCATTATTCCATCCTGATTTTCTAACTGTTTGTCCTCGGATTTCCGCTTGTTATAAGATTTAATAATATCTGGTTTTTCGTCTAGAAGCTGTTTCAATAAGTTATCTTCATATAAAATGGAAGTTGGTGACCAATTAACTGTTCGACTTGTTTCGGAATTTTTGCAAGTAACTCGATTTTCTTGAGAGTTGCGTAAGATACTTTGCGGTTGAGTGAAGCAGTCATTTCGCGAACAAAAAATACCATTATTTTCTGCATATGTTTGGTGGGTTTGGGTCAAAGTCTGCTGAGTAGGAAACTCATATGAGTCACATCTAAACTCTTGTGAGCAGAACGTCTCGTTTTTATTATTTTTAGATGTATCGTTTTCTTTAAGCCGGTCATTGGGTTTATTTTGGTAGCTATATAGATACCGAGAATTTGGTGACCTAACAAGCGATTTTGCGGTTTCATCGGTGCATTGGAAAGGTGCTTCATTGCAAAATAATCGTTCTGCAACGTTGACATTTTTCTCGTTGTCAGATTCAATTTCGTCTAGCTTTCTGAGTGGTTTACTAGCATTTTTAGAAATTAAATTTGGAATCCGCATATTATCCGAAATATGTGTTGTGGTGACTGCACCTGAGTTAACTTTCCATTTATTACTTTCGTAAATTCTATTTAGAGTCGTTAGCGTTTCATTATCCAGAGAACTTGGATTGTTAAGATTGCCTCGAGTATTAGTTACTATCGCATTGGAATTTGATAAATAGGAAGTTGAATGGGTGGAAGGAGGAATTACTTCCATGTTTGTTTGAGATCGTGACATAATCTGGGAAGTAGATTGAATATCATCTTTACAGCAAATTGCGCTTTGGCTAAAAGAAAAAATATAACTTTTAACAGCATTATTATGAAATAAATGCAGTCTAAGTCTAGGAATGTGCTTATAAATGTGTTAGTAAGTATCAAGTAGTGATTTAAAAACGTACCAATTACATGTCGTTGATGGCTTTCCAGCAACTAAGTCATTATTTTCTTTGACTGGAGATTCTTCTAGTACCTCTGATATCAAATTTGTTGTTCCGAAACAATTAGTATCCCTTACATTATTCGCATTATGTATTAATCTCACTCTATCTTGTGCATCCATATTTAATGTGTTTGTGATGTCCTTACTTTCGGTACTATTTAAGCAGGTGTTAAATATTCTCTTAAAAAAACGTTCTTTTCGAAATGGTAAATTCTCCTTATTAGCTATATCGTATGTCGAATTTTTCTTTTCTATATGTGGATAACCAAGCTTGTTTGAATGTTCGTCTTTTTTACTATCATAACTTAATGTGCTCCAAAAATATGATCCTTTCCTGTTGCCTTGAAAGTTCATATTGGATTTGGCCAGGAAATCGTCAAATGGTTTAACGTTGTTGGTTTCCTGAGATGGTCTATTTAAAGTGTTTCCGTAAACTTCTCTCAAAGTGTTAACGTTCTTTTGTTCAAAAATATCGGTACTTCTGTGGCTATTTTGTGAATTAAGCCCCACAGTTGTTGAAGCTTTTAATTCTGCAGCAGATCTGAATGACAAAGATTTACAAAACGTTGCACCAGATGTCAGACTTGTTTCCATTTTTCTTGGATCAAAACGTATGTTTACTAGTAAATCTCCTAAAAATGTAAAATACTGTATTAATTTACTGTTAGTCATTTGTAAGTAATCGTAAAGTCACGTACAGGAAAAACATACCAGATATAACTATTACTTAGCCGGTTAGAAGTGATTAAGATAACTCGACTTGCTCAATTCGATAAATATACAGTGTTATTTGTTTAAACAACAACAATAAGAAAATGAACCAGTACATTGTATTTAAACGATTAACCTATTTGATTGAGAATGCCTTAACAAAACTTTATGTTTGTTGCTAACAGAAAATACTAAATGAACCATATTTTAAATTTTACCAATTATGGTATTATGGTGGTATTAAGTTGTGGGCATTCACACAAGCAATGGACGATGCGAGAATAGATTCTCGCTACACAAACTTGCTGAAAAAAAATATATATGCCTCATTACATGTACGAATCAACAAGGACTCAAAGCCAGAGAGAATCAGCATAAATAGGGGTGTTCGACAGGAGGATAGCATATTTCCAAAATTGTTAACACTGGTGCTAGAAAATGTCTAAAGCATAAATATAAATGGATCCTACTTGAAGCACTTCCTTTTCGCCGACGATATCGTCATAATAAGTAGCAATATACAGGAATTGAAAGAAATGCTAAATCCACTGAGCGATGCCTCTAAAATGATCGGGTTAAAATGAAAATTAATTTCAAAGACCAAAATCTTAAGTAACACTTCGGAACAAATATACATAGATGGTTCAAAACTCAAAAATGTAGGAGAGTAGATATGTTTAGGATAAACAACAAGAATAGGAAAAGAAAATCAAACAGCGGAGATTAAGAGAAGGATAAGACTAACTTGGATAGCCTTAGGATAAAAAAGTTGATATTTAGAAATGGTGAAATTCCGATAAACCTCAAAAGGAGAGTGTTCGACACCTGCATATTGCCAGAAGCGACTTATGCCCTGGAAATAATATAAATGATGGAAAAGACCAGAAATCAACTGAAGGTAATGCAACGAGCTATGGAAAAAACAATGCTTAACTTAGGGACAGGATGAAGGACAAGTCTTAGGGACAAGATGGAGAAGCATGAGAGAGGCCTATGTCCAGGAGCGGATGATAGAGGGCTGACTAAGAATAAGAAGAATTACATTATGGTAATAAAATTTGCCTAATTATCTAAAAAATAACTGGTTTGTTAATGCTTTAAAGTGGCCAGACTCTTTCCGATTGATCATCAATACTTGACGCAAAGTCTGAAGCTACTTGGCGCACAAAGTATAGTCCAAACAGTTTAAAAATTCCAACTTTTCGGCTTTAAAATCATGCATTTAAAATGTTACGACCTTCTGGAATTTTACAAAAATATCTGGTGTAAAGCTGAACTTTGCCGATACAACAAATAACTTGTTTCGCAACTTGAAATTTTTGGTTACAAAACCTAGAAAGAGCAAAGTTTTAGTAATTAATTAGCTTTAGTGAGCTGACGAGCACCTAATCTGCCAATCAGGCGCAAATTTATATAATGGAAAAGAATGTAGATTCTAGACTCACTGGTAACTTTGTCCTCTAACAATGGTTCAATTGAATTGTGAGCCACTGTTTCAGGGTCTCCCACTAAAGAATATTTATTCTTGAATAAAGATGAATCTAATTTGTCCAATGAGTTAGGGATGTTTGAATATTCAGTCTGTTTTCTAGTACTTAAAGTAGGAGGTTTTTTAGTAAACGATTTTTCGGCAAATGGCCATTTTGAAAACGTATTGCTTTCAGAATCATTTTTGGGGATTGCTAAATCGTTTGTGGCACTTCTTCTGATCATTGATCTTCCTACAATCAATATTTCAAACTGAAAAGAATCAATTACTCCTTTAGTAGTTTTAAGAACTACAGTGTAAAATGATAAGATAACTAACAATATAGCACGATGTCAAAAAAGAGTCTTCTTAAGAGAGTAAAGATTTAATTTACTTAATTGTAGTATGTTTCAATCTGAAAGCTGTTTATAACTGGTTAAATAACAACAGATAAATTGATACGTTTATGTTAGAAAATGTATTGACGCAAAGTGTACGATACTAGATAAAAAACTATTAAGCGGGTCTTTAAAACTGACGTCATTTCTTTCTAGGTATTCCCTAAGAAGTACAGACAAAATACTAAAAAACAAATAATTTTCTCTAAAAACTTGGATATTTAGATAAATATTTTATAATTTATTTATCAAAATATTTTGTCGTTAAAAGTACATATACAGCACAAGTTGGCACCGCCTTTTTCCCATAACATAATGAGTTTTACTCTAAAGAAGGGTATTCGATATGACAAGATTACAGATTGACATATTGGGACTCAGCGAAACACGATGGCCAGGATCGGGACAAACAACAACCGACACTTATACAATATATTACAGAGGTAATAATGACCCCCACCATAGACTGGGAGTCGCTTTTATTAATTCCCATTAAGGAATAAGAAAAATTAAAGGAACATTGGGAATGAACACGGAACGCCCAAATTGCAAGTTACTTAGAAACAATAACACCATCATAACAGATATAAAGGAGAAATTACATACATGGAAACATTACATGCAGCGAGTATTTCAGAAAGATAGACTTGAACAACATGGTTAGAGGCGATTACTGGTCCAAATATCTATCTTAAAAGAGGAAATCATACAGGCCATTCGTCAGCCAAAGACTGGTAATGCTGCAGGCTCTGACTGTATCAACGTTGACATTCTTAAACTAGCAGAAGATAGTGTCGCCATGGTTCTCACCGATTTATTCAACACAACATACATCTCAGGAAGAATACCACAGGACTGGTTAAAGTCAACTTTTGTCACGCTGCGAAAAAAGTTAATGCCAAACACTGCTCCGAGTATCGTCCTATAAGCCTTATGAACCATGTACTTCAACAGATAAATTCAGTGAAGTGTGAAAAAGTGTTATGAAACTGTCTCAGACACACAGTTTGGTTTCAGAAATGATCTGGGAACAAGAGATGCTCTCTTTAGCGTGCAAGTTCTGGTCCAGAGATGCTTAGATATGAATAGCCCAGCATACATGTGTTTTATAAATTATGAGAAGGCTTTTGATAAAGTACAACATTCTAAAATAATACAAAACCTTCAAAACATTGGGCTGGGTCAGCTAGTGTGACATAAGACTTATCGCTAATCTATAGTGGAATCAAAGAGCTTCTGTTCAGGGGAGAATCTTGTACCGGATGAGACAGAAATCCAGAGAGGAGTCTGCTTTCAGCATTATTGTTTAATATCTATTCTGAATCTATTTTGTCCGAAGCTCGGTCCGAAAACGAAAAAGAAATTTACGTAAATGGTATAGGACCAATAAATAACATCCGCTATGCTGATGATAGAGTATTGAGTAGTTCTTCTGAGGATCTGCAATGATTACTAACAATAATTAACCAGGGAAGTAACGCCAGTGGTTTAACATCAAATTTAAAGAAGGCCAAACTTATGATAGTCAGCAAGCAAAATATTGGAAATGTACAATTGTCAGTTGACCAAGAAATAATACAAAGTATTGATCGCTATGAATACCTGGGATGTTAGCTAAACAGTGAATGGGACATTGGACAGGAAATACGGATCAGCATTGAAAAAGCCAGAAGTGCATTTCTCAAAACAAAACAGCTTCTCACGTGTTGCTAAGTGAATCTAAGTTTAAGAGTACGCCTGGACAATGCTACTTATTTTCTGTTGTGTACACTGTTGGATCAACATTGCAAAAAGATTCAAGCCTTTGAAATTTTTATTGTCGCATACTTAGAATTACCTGGTCTGATAGAGTACGGAATGCTGATGTCTTGTTACGTCTAAATACAACAGTTGAGGTCTTAATCACAGTGAAGCGACGAAAACTCGAATACTTCGGACATGTTATCAGGGGTAAGAAATATCGATTCCTTCAACTAATAATACAGGAGAAAATTGAGGGCCGACGAGCACCGAGACAAAGATGGACATCGTGGCTTCAAAAATTGGGAGAGTGGTATGGAAGAAGTACCAGACCCTTATTTATATAGACCTTAGACAGACCCTTATAGCCAGAATGATCGCAAAAATTCAGTAGAAGGCGGCACCAGAAGAATATATAAGTCCAGTAAAATTTGCGGACTAGAAAATGAAATCAAAAGAATTTGCTGAAGGCAATATTTCAAAGCAAAAATAATAACGATAAACATGCTAGCAACATCTCAAGAAAGTTTTTATTAGAAATTCCATGTATTTAATAACAAATAAAGTGTAACGTGTTTCGTACATTCTCCCTCTTACGATAATTGACAATATATTGAATTTTGCACCGCGTGAAGAATATTACGTTAATATATACTTACCAACGAAACAATTTCCTTCCCCAGTTGCTGATTTTGAAATGCTATTTTTGATCGGTTTAATTAACCGTTTTGGAATATTTTCATGGCGACGTGAGCAACCACCAATAGTTTTCAAAGATGTATTCTGCTTAAAATCACGTAAAAGTGAAGTTAGAATATATTTTTTCTTTTCTTCCTGTGTAGACTTTGACGCTGCAAATGTCCCAATAGAAAGGCTCTCTAATGGACTGCTTTCATTGAAACAGTTATAGGAATTTTCGGAACAAATTGAATCAGCTACTCTCGGGGTGTCATTTTTCCATTTCAGCTCTTCCGACAAATATTGCTTTTTTGAATATTTGTCAAAGAAGTCGTCTAATTCAGGAGTGGCAATTGAATTTGAGGAATAACTGAGATCCCGTTCCCATTGTGATAACTTATTTGTATATGAAAATGGGAAATCCGATGTATTCAATACGACATCATCTATGAAACGATTCGAGCATCTTGACTTATTCCTATAATCACAAGTGGTGCTTTGTATAAGCGTATGAGAGTTGTTATTATTGATATCAGAGTTGTACCAACAAGGTTTAATTTCCAACCCGGCCGTTAATTTGGCAAAAATGTTATTTCCGGATAAGTTAGTTATTCGATTAAAACTATTTCCACTTCCTATTGCGTCCAACTGTTCAGTTTTCCTTTTTCCATTTGTCTCCTTCACTTTTTTTGAATTTTCTGAATGTTCTTCACAATCTGTCTGTTCATTTGATAAAATTCGATTATAATAACTGCGCTTTCTATATCGCCGAGATGCGTCTTCCATTTTTGGTGCAAATATTGCATCACATCTAAAATACGATATTGCATTCTCATACATCGTTTTGCATAATAACTAATAATAAATGAAAACGTCTCTATATTATTTGCTAATATAAATTTTTGCATACCATTTCATACGTAGAAAATAGAAATATAATGTATGTATTGAGCTTGCAATATTTGCTTAATAATTTCAAAAACTTCTTAAACATGCTCACATCTTTAATAGATTTCAATCCAAGTTAAAAATACTTGTATAATTATTTAAAGAACTATAGGAAATATTAAAATGTAAGAAATTGAATAATTAATCGAGCGCTATATTTATATCAAAATTGTTCAACAAAATCAACGTCAATTAAGATCCACAAAATAACTAATTTTTCTCGAACTAGAAGCATTTATTTCCGAAATTTTACTTCCCAGTTATTGCTGAAAATTACTCCTATTAAAAATATATTTTTTTAACCTTCTAACTTTCTCCCGAATGCGTTTTAGTTTGATTTAGTTTCAACCATGTTCAGTAGCCCAAACAAAAATTACTTAAAAATGTGCAATATTTCGATCTATTTATAAACTATCATCAAATCAGTTCCCATCAACGTGTGCGGAGCAATTCTCATTACGGTCAATCATCCTTCCTCGGTTCTGTTGCAGGAGTCGAGAATAAATGATTAGCATCCGATAAAAAATTCTTCTCTAAGGAGTACAGTAATCAGCGAGATTGCCGACGATGAGAAATTTCTATCCTATATTAAAAGCTCTGGATTTATTAAAAATATCTCGGAAGCAAGAAAACATGAAATAGTTTTTAAAATGTCAGTAAAATTACCCATTAAATTAGTTGCATGGTCCCTTATTTAACTGTTTAGTTAGATGCTATATACGAATATATGTAAGCTCTGGGCAACATGGTGGATGAGCAATTGGAAGAAACATTTTCTCTGCAACATACTTTAGTTTCACAATTGGTTTTCTAACAAAAAGTTGAAAATTGCTGTGGTTAGTGTTAATCCTTTTCGATTATGATGGGACAGATATAAGAAATAAATTATTCACTATTTAAGAAAACTTTTTGCCATATAATATGGTTCTGTTCTTGTTTCTAATTTTTCTAGTTTTCAATTGATCTGTGAGTAAAACAAAATTTAATCATAAGTATTCACACATAGAATCAAGAAAGAATCACACGAAAATTAAAGATTATTATCAAAAGAGATAGACTTTCGAGACCATTCCTTGAAACTAATGGGTTTTTCGGGTTTTTAGGCTGTCGTTGGGTAGAGTTTCTTCTTGACGTTTCGCAAGCACGAGTGATTTGCTTGAAGGCTTACACTGTTCTGATGGTATGGATTACATCAAAACAGTGTAAGCCTTCAAGCAAACCACTCATGCTTGCGAAACCTCAAGAAGAAATTCTACCCAACGACGGCCTAAAAACCCGAAAAACCCATTAGTTTCATTAAAGATTATTGTTCACGCTCATGACTGTAACGAAAATTATTGTTTCAAAGGGTTTAAAACGCCATATGCCAAGGTGAGACGTTTTATTTTTAATTTTTGTACACATTTAACTAATTTTGTATCTTTTAGCGCTTTACAGAATGGCTTTTCTTACCTTGACCTCAGTCGGTACATAATAACATGAGGAATAGTTTATAAACTATAGTTTGGGTTAGTTTGGGTATGGGTTCCGCATCTGTAATCGCAAATGCCGATTAACGACATTATCATCTTGTATTATCTCAAATAAAGACGAAGAAGAAGAACTGAATCCGGTGTTTTATTTGTAGAATTTAATTGATAATAAAATAATTATTTCATTTGGTAACCAGATTTGCTCTCGAGGGCGTTTTTATGTTACGAAAAACCACTGATCTATAGCTATTCTCTTTAATGAGTTTCAGATCAAATTATCTCCGTACCTACGCTATTGGCAAAAATAAAAAAATGATATCGTATAGCAGAAAATGTTTTTGGAGGTTTAGAAAATACGTATTATGTTTCACGCCATACCATGTCATGCCAAAGTTTTTATTAAAAATATAAATTGGAAAACCTTTGGAATAGTCAGTTTTTCTTAAAACGGACCCAATAATAACTTTTAGAGATATCAGCTTAATATTATTAACACGAACCCACATACATGACCGAAACATAGTCGATTTAACCGAAACTGCATTCAAAATTGCACAAGTTGGCCCACAGAAGTCGCCCAAAAGTCTAGAAAATGTTTTTCTACGAATATCTTCTAAACTCGTCGAAATACCTTCCTTTTTTAGTACTGAACAGTCTAAAAAAAAGTAGAATTTATCGTCCACTAAGAGCTCACAATTTGAAATTGGTGATGGAGCCATAGGTTCGCGCTCTCTGTAGATATCCTAGTTCATATTCTAGTTAGGAACTGGGACTTTAATTTAATTAGGAATTATTATGATACCAAATTTAATTTCACAAATAGTAATCTGCAAATATAATAATCTGCAAGCATGATACTTTCAACAGGTACATTAGAAATAATAAAGAAATAAACATAAGCAATAAAATTCTTTGAAACAAGCCTTAAGAAGTTTGCTTAAAGCAATAACTCCCTCCTCACAAATAACACGCATTAGTTTATTTAACAGGACTGATGAAAAGTCAATTTTGAAGCATTTATAATTATTATTACAGAATGGACAGACATTAATTTGACATGAGTAAGTTAGATAAAAGAACTTCGCAGAGCCTCACACAAATTATCGGTTACCCAAAACAACAGTTCAATCAAATACATTATACATACGTGGTAATAATAATCACATGTATGAAATATATATTTTTGATTTTATATAACTTATTACAGCCTTAATTAATAAAAAAATGTAAAGAGTTGCGTTCCAAATTTTCGATTTAGCTCTGTTAGAATAAGTTTTTGGTGTAGATTAATAGACAAAATATCGCTTAGATGTCTTAATATTTCCTACCTAATATTATAATGCTCTGTGCCATCGTATTTTACAAAAGTTCTTGAAATGAAACGAGAACTGCTCAGTTGGAAGCAGACGAGAATCGTAAAATTAATTGTCTATTTAATTTTACCGCTCTACGCAGTACTTACTAGATAAATTAAAATATTACTTTAACTTTAAGCGAGCATAGTTATCGATATATTTCAGTTTAAAAGAAGATACAAGTTTGAAAAGAAATTCACTTACCTGTTTGGATCTGGAACTTCACTTAAGCCGCCTTGATACACCAATTGCACTTTTCAACTTTAACTAACTTTCTCACTGGAAGATTCTATGAATTACGTGATAAGCTACAATCCCGCACAAGTACAATGTAAAAAGAAAGATACTTATTAAACAATCATTAATTTATGTTTCAGTATTACACCTGACAAAATGGGTAATGTCACATTGCAATTGGATTAAAACATTTCCTAACCTCTTCTGAACGTTGTCAAGAAGCGAAAGTTAAATATTATCAAGATGTTCAATTTGTTCATTTGATATGTTTTATCTATTGAAATAAAAGGCGTAAAAACGGCGGCAGAAGGAAATCCGAAAAATTACTTATCAACGAACACTCGAGTGGCAGTTGCACAAGAAGGTCAACAAAGGGCGAATATGAAACGTATTAAATAAGTAAAACTTGGTAAGTAGGTACCTATTAATTTTTGGTGTAATCCTTGCGCTTTTATCTATATTAAGTATATTTACTCTTAGTAGAGCTTCGAGGCGTATCAATTAATTTTATGCTCAAATTACGATGCCCCAAAAGATTACCAAATGGCGAAGTCGTTTGAATATTATTTGTTCGTTTTGTTCAATATTCTACGATTCTGCCAATACAAGTGGAAAGTTAACCGATTGAAAGTGTCCGATATCCCATGTATATACAGGGTGGCCGTTCTCTAACGGAATCTTTGTATGGGTAACTTCTACATTTTTAAAGATAGAGAATCCGTTAAATGGGCAAAGTTTTCAAAATTTAGGCACCCGACTTGGTTCCTGAAATATCCTGAAAAGACAAGAAATCAACACTTTTTTAATTATCACATATTTCGTAAACTGCTTAACTTAGAAAAAAAGTTATAATTGCCTTTGGTAGAACTTTTTACGTTGAGTTCAATAAACCATCAGTTGTTATAGTCAACTTGATTTACGAGATAAAAAATAAACTTCTGGTTTTTTAAATGGTAATCATAGTTGGCTGTGGACCTTTTAAAACCCTTATTTTTTCTGAATTTAACTATACAACTGCTTATATGTTTATATCTTCTTTTAACCGTAAAAATTCGAAAGAAAAACATTAACAAGCATCTAGAAGTATTGTCACGAAATGGTTATTTTACTTTATTTTACTTTTTGTAGTAGTTTGAGTTAATAAATGTCATTAGTTGAAAGTATTATTGTTGCTAAGTAAATTATTTTTGCTAGCAAAGAAGACGGGAAAATGTATTCTAACGAAAAAAAGAATGACATACTATTCTGTTACTATACCTGTAATAGAATTACATAGCAATATGGCTATCAGTCAAAAATAAGGATCATTTAAAAAGCGAACAAAGAGGAAGTTAATGAACAAGATGAAGAAATAGTTTTAGCTTACACCCATTTTAATCCAAATTCATCAATCAGATAAACGGCCAGGGAATGTAATGTTTCAAAGGAAGAAGCCTCTTTGGTTCTAAAACAAAACAAACTCAACCCTTTCAAGTACCTTATTGCAAATACTCATCATCTCGAGATGCTGCTCGAATACTTCAGTTTGTCTAGGTGGCTTAGTAGGGTTTGCTAGGGCTATTAGATCTACAGTTTCCCCTCGCCATTTTATTTACTGACGAATCTCGGTTTACTAACAATGGAATATTTAACAGACACAATCATGTTTACTGAGCTAATGAAAATCATTATCTAATTGAAAATAGGCGAGATCAGCGTGTTTTTTTTGTGAAAGTCTGGTGTGGCATTTTTAGTGATAAAATTATTGGTCCATTCTTTTATAATCACAATTTAAATAGGGAAAGATATTTACACTTTTTACCAAATTAACTTGAAGACATGTTGAATAGTTTTCCGTTAGCATCGTATCAAAAATTGACATATTCTCAACATGATGGTGCACCTTCACATAACTCACGAGGTGAATGAGAAGATGCCAAAAAATGCCTGGCCGTAAACGGAGGTCAATTTGAACATTTAATTTAAACGATTCATTTCATTTTTGTTTTGTGCTTTGTGTGATAATATAGTTCTTGTTTCCACAGCCTACTACACATTTTTTATTTTCTTTTGAAGTTTTACGGCAACAAAAGGAGAAAAACATACAAACAATTATATTGCTAAATTCAGAAAACAATAAGGATTTTAAAAGGCCCACAGCCAACTATGATTACTATTTAAAAAAACATAACTTTATTTTTTATCTCGTAAATCAAGTTGACTATGACAACGAATGCTAGTTTATTGTATTCAGCGCAAAGAGTTGTACTAAGGGCAGTTTTAACTTTTTTTTTAAGTCAAGCAGTTTACGAAATATGTGATAATTAAAAAAGTGTTGATTTCTTGTATTTTCATAATATTTCAGGAACCAAGTCGGATACCTAAATTTTGAAAACGGTAATGAATAGGCAATCGAATTCTGCCCAATTTTGTCCATTTAACGGTTTCTCTATCTTTAAAAATGTAGGAGTTACCCATACAAAGATTCAGAAAATGGCCACCCTGTATATACGGTCTGATTTTATATGCTGTCTGTAAGATATATGTTAATATGTTACAGGCAATGTACGAACTCCGGCAATGTGCAAAATGCCTAGGCATTCTGCGAACTGCCCAACTCGCATGGCATGGCATGACTGGGTTTGGGCAATTGCACATTGACTAGGTACTGATTCTTTCTAATAACACATTTTGATATTTTCATAAATAAAGGTACTTTACTCTTGAGAAAAAGTAATATTTTATGATAAATCTAGTAAATGTCTGAAAAAAATTAATATCCGATAGGTTAACTTCGCCATTAAGTCGGACAAAACGTATATATTTGAAACTTTGTGAGAGAAGTTGAAAACATGAAACAGTATCGCCTTAATTAATTCAGATATCAATTATTATTATATTATTTTCTTTCCTGGGCTCCAGGAAAGATACTTGGATTTATACATTGTCCAAAAAACTTGTTCAAAAAGAGAAGTTGATAGCGCCGTTTACTTATTTATTATTTAATTGTGTGTTGATTTTAGTGTGATCCACCAAAATTAATGGTTACCAAAGAAGGTAGTCACAGTTTTAGCTTATTACATATTTTCTAACACATTTGAATGTCTGCTTGTATGTTAATTTATCAGTGCTGACTATTTATTTGTTTTTCTCTTTATCTTGGTATTTTTAAACAACCCATTTTCTGTTATGGACAATAAAATAATGTTAGTACTGACAGATAATAGTAACGACAGTTTAGTTCCTGTTTTTAAAACCGATTTACGAAAAAAATATTATGTTTTAAAACTACTCAATAAATATTTATTATATTTGTGCAACAACTGTAAATGTGTATTAAAATTTTATTGGTCATTATGAAATTCGGAATACAGGACTGTGCAGACATAGTCAATCGGAGAGTGTTCGACTACTAGCAAAACGCACTTTTTTATTTAAAAATCAATAACAATTTGCAGTCTGTTTCTAAAATAAAAATGTTGTATTTAAATTGAAGCCAAATCATAAAACTATTCCCTGGAAAAGATTTTAGATTTGTTTCCGCATCAATACTGGAAGTTTAATAAAATGGTAAAGTTCGACTTATGATGACTGTCCGACTACTGGCTAATTTACTCTAGTTGCATTTTAAGCTTTAGACCAGGATTTTCCAAACTTTTTACGTAATTAATTTTGCTTGACACCCGACGAGGAACTACTCTGGTTTTCGGTACACTCTATCCAAATGATTCTAGGATTCATCAGATATTGTGAACAGTTTCCGAGGTAATAACTATGCGGTTAAAGCAGATGCGTTCTCAATAAAATATCCTCCTATCTGCATATATTTTTGCAGTATTTAGACTTCTCGTCCTCGCTTATTATTTCTATTTGAGGCACTTTAGCACAAATGTCAGACAGCTGTGAACAATAAAATTGAAACACTGCAATTGTAGGTAAGCCACTTAGTATGGAGTATTGTTCTTGAAGAGCTCAAAGTAACAAAACGGTTGCTGAAATCATATAGTCCGGTAAGAGTTTTAGCGAATAATTTCTGTACCCGACGAAAACTATAAATTTTCAGTAACCAACTTTTGATTTCGTTACAATATAATATTAGAAGAATATACTTTTAAATATTTTAAACATCTTTTTAACTAGTTTTGATGTAATAATAGTGAAAGTCGTTTTACAATAGCTGAACTAGCTTTAAAATCTAGCTCTTAAAATAGTTAATCCTAGTGGCCTATACATACGTAATTAATTATTACCAGTTACATTTTTCGTGGTCAAGAAGGCAGTCTAAAACAGTTAAACAAAAATAAAGCTGCTAGTTTTCTCTACCAAAACTCATGCGATTTGATATGATTGATACTGCTCTTACTGGTTCTCACATCCCTATGATTTTTCACATACTGCAATATGTAGACACATGCAAAAACTCTCTAAGAATAAAACCGACACCAAACCACCTAAGGTGAAGTAGCTCTTAAGTACCTTATAAAATCTTTTATGTCCCATTCTATGAGATCTGTATTTAAAAATTGTTACAAATAGTGCGGTGCCTATTCACATCAACTGATGCGAACAATGAGTTGTTATCTGCAAATATCTACGTTAAAAGTCAGATTTATTGTGGAAAAATTTTAACGACTACCGATTGTAGGGCCTGATAAATGCGGAAGGGAGGTTTTTCGATGCTATAGAAAACTATAGATCGGAAGTAATTCAAGCACATTTAGCTTATGTTAACTTATAAGCTTAGTGGGCTTAATGGTGCAATTATAATGTATTTTTGCATTCAAATTTCAATTTGGTTTGAAGAGTTATCATTAATTCAAACGGATATTGAAAAAACGCGACAAGCTACAAATCATTACACTTAGAAAACGAGCTATAAAGTTTCAAAAAACTATATAAACGGCATATTTTACATAGTTTTTAAATGATAAACAGATTAATGATAGATTATGTTTTAACGTCTTCGCCTGTGAGGTGTAGCTTGTCACGATATTCCAATAAGCCCTTCAATCAAATTGAAAAAATTCCCCGAAATATACAGAAAAGTTAAACATAGAGTCTTTAGAGGGCCAAACTACGAAGTGGCTTTACAAAGAACTCCAGAAAGAAAAATAAATCCATTTAGAAAATAGTACAATGTAAACGAGCTCTGGATAAAAATTAGAGTCGCACATATTACAGGCTGCAAAAGAAAGTATAGAAGTTAGGAAAATTAACTTAAATCCAACAAAAGTATCAAAGCGATGGTTGAATAACGAAATAAGAGATTTAACGTACGAAAAAAGAAAAGCATATATAATATATTGTAGTAATAAGACGCCCAACAATTATGAGCAACACAAAGATACAAGAAACTGTGTAAACTCTAAGATCAGAAACTTGAAAAGATTGAACGCGGTTTACCAAAAAGATGGAACACGACTTTCATGGC